TATTTACTAACTATCCAATAGAAATATACTATAAATAACATGATATATTTTATATTAGGTGTTAAATTTATCACATGGTGACAGTATATATTATTATATATAATTAGCATGAGCTGATATATAGTATCAAGAATTTTTGTAATCTGCTTGTTGAATTTCTCTATAAAAAAATAATTTTCCCAGAATATCAAGAATTTTTCTTAGTAAAAGTAATTTGTGAGACAAATTTGTTTTGTACTAGTAATTTTATATAAATAAATTCATATTATTTTTGATTATTGGATAAAAATTATGATTTATTAATTAAAATATAATATTATATAATTTTAATTGTAAGATTATTATAGTTTTTTATCTATACTAATAAATAAACTTTTAAATATATTTATATCTTATATAAAATAATAAAAAATACTCAATTTGAACTAAATATATTGAAACAAGAAAATATCAGACTTATAATTCAAATTACGAAATTGGAATATAAGCTTATGACTAGAATTATGAAATTGAAGCAAATTGCAAAGTTAAGTCAAATAGAAAATGTTGAGATCAAACTGAAATTGCTAAATTAAAATGAGTTATTAAGAATATTGAAAAGCAAAATCAAATAGTTACTAATAATTTAAAATCTCTAGAATATTTCACTTTATTATCTAACAAGAATTGCTCAAATAGTAAAAATATGTAAATTAAAAATTCTTTAACTCATTATAAAGCAAATCAATTTATGACTAGCACTGACTTAGTAATTTTAAATACTTCAGAACAGGTAGTTAATACAAATTCTGATGTATCTAATTTAAATTATTAAAAAATAAAAAAATTAATATCTTTTTAGATTCAGAAAATAAAAAAAGAGTTAGTATGAGATAAAATAAAGAAATAAAGAAAAAAGCTATTATACAGTAATGAAGTTTTCATTTCTCAAAATTAAGACTTATCTTTAATTAATCAGAATACTTTAATAAAATCTAAAAAGGTAATAATATCATTATTATTATATGATATAAAAACTATAATATAATGTCATAATCTTAATAATTCTGACACTTTCTTTAAAATACTTGAATCAGATAATCAAATCATAAAAGACTTAATACAAAAGGTAACTTATAATCAAAAACAAAGTATTGTTTTCTCTGAAATTAACTCATTCTCAAATAATAATAAAATAGATTTTATTGAAATTAGTAAGTCTTATATACAGAATATGAATTCAGATTTTTTGCAAAGTTTATTTGACTTATTTGATAAAATAATTAAATTAGATTAAAAACAAATTTTGTATTGGTATTATTATTTTTTTAAATTTAAAAATAAGATTAAAAGTCTTATAAGAGATAGTAAAATCAAAGATAAAACTACCAGATTGCAAATATATAAAGAAATAAAATCTTTTTTATCTACTGATATAAGTTTGCATAAAAAATTCAAAGAGCTCAAAAATGCTTAAATTATTTGAAGAAAAAAAATAAATATAGATAAAATCAAATATAGCACAAGTATTATTTCAGAATTGAAAGATACTTAAATTCAATATATCATAAATTAGACAACTTTAAAAACTGTAACAAAATATTATGATCAAACTAATTTCAAAATAAGTAAATCTATCACTTTGTCTTATATCTCTAATTTTTCAGGTTCAGATAATTTGCCAAAAACTGAGATAAATATACTATTATATCTCAAAAATGTTATTTGAAAAACAAAATAATCCAATTTATGATTGTACTTATTGTAATAAAATATTATAGTGATATTCTGATTTATATAAAAATTTAATTATTATGAAATTGTTGAGTGATTATTATATTCAATATATAAGTAAAGTTATAAAAAAAGGAAAAATATAAAAGATAAATATAAAGCTAAATCTTATTTTATTAAATGTGAAAAACATGAAATTGAGATAACAGTATAAATTTTATTTTCTCACAGTAACTGCTTGAAGCCAGAAAGAAAAATAGGTGAATTATATATGATATTTCTGTAAGAACTTGAAAAGAAATATGTATTTCTATTATAATGTAATAGAGAGAAAGAAAAATATCATAAATTTTTAACAAATTAGTATTATGATCCAGGATTTTTGGGATAATAATATAAGAATAGTTTATATATTATTTAAATAATAAATATTTAATCAAAAAATAATATATAATAATTAATATAAATAAATTTATTTATTTATTTAGTAAAGTATAAATTTCAATTACATAGTTTAATATTGTAAAAAATTTGTTAATGAATATTAAAAAAATATTTATTTATTCAAAAAATTGTTGCAATTATAAATTATTTAATTTAGCATGGAATTCAAGAATTTTTTGCTCAAGAATCAACACAATATTGACTTTGTGATTTATATCTCTATCAAATATAACTAAATATAATTCTTGATTTAATATGACTTTATATTTATAATTATTTGGATTATATATGTGAATTTTTTAAAGAAGGACAACAAGAAAAAATAAAAGCAATTAATATTATTAATATTATTTTTAATGATTATCATAATAATGCTTATATTGAAATTTATCTAGTATTTATTTGATATCAAGTCCAATAATTTATTTTAGACTTAGATTTTTTCAATATGAATGTGATTCTTTTTTTCCCTTTATAAAAGAACATATTGAACAATTAGATATTTTTATTTTAAATAATATTTTTATTTTAAATAATATTTCTATTTTAAATAATATTTCTATTGATGATTTTGAACATTATATTACTTCAATAATTCTTAAATATTATTTTGATTCTTTTATTTCTAATTCTGTTTTTAAATCTGTCTTTAATACTGTACAAAAAAAATTTTTAATTATTTTGATTCTCATTCTTTCCAATCTTTTTTTAAAGCTATCCAAATTTTTGATTCTCATTTTCTTCAATTAACTATTAATAATTGTGATATTCAAAAATATGCTATTAATATTTCTGAATTATCTAATTTTTTAATTGCTCTTATTCAAGAATGGTCTTTTTATTATAATTTAGACTTAACAACAGTAAATTATAATCAACTTCATATTTTTTGGAATAATATTGCATTTCATATGCCTCTTTTAAGTAATATAGCTTTAGATTGTATTTGGTTACCTGCTATTGAAAGAAGTTTTTCATCTTATAATAATATTTTAGTAGATAATCATCAAAATTTAAGTCAGGAATCTTTAAAAATACTTAATATGATGTATTTTAATTGCACCAAAGAATAAAATTGTTATCCAAATAAAACCAAATTTTTCACATTATCTAAATAATTGTTTTAAAATCAAAACCAAATTTTTCCGGGTTCCTGGGTAGCTATTCTCTTACATGTCTATGATTTATTACGATCCGACGACAATTTGCCACATGGCTTAATTTAAATCTTAATAAGATCGTGTAAATCTTTCCAAAATTCTTCCTTTAACACTACAAGCTATACTCATTTTTTAGATTTTAACATTAATTTTCCCTATCAGAAATAAAACATGCTTGATCTGTTTACCATTTTAACCAAAGGTGGCATAGTCCTTTGGTCAAAGACCTTTGCTCGGTTTGCGTCTTCACCAGTAGACGCATTAATTAAAGACGTTCTCATTGAGGAAAGAGCCGGTGCAAACAATTATACAAAGGACAGCTTTAATGTGAAATGGACCTTTGCAAATGAACTTGACTTAATTTTTGTGGTAAACGTTTATTCTATGAGATTCATTTTAATGGTTATATAAAGGCAGTTAAGATTAATTCGTTCATTTTTTTCAGGTTGCCTACCAAAAAATCCTTCAACTTGCCTACATTGACGAGTTACTTGCCACCGTAAAGAAATTCTTTTGTGATAAGTTCGCGCAAATAATTCGTGATACTGGAAAATTGCATTTATTCCCTTTTGACGATGATTTCGATATGATTTTGAGAAATTTCGAGGAGAAAGGGTTCGAGGTCAGTATAATTTTTTGAGTAATGGGGAGAAAAATCTATCCATATTTTTCCTTGATGTGTTTTTAATCACATAGGAAAAGCGATCTAAGCCAAGGAAATTTGAAGAAACCAAAAAATACAAAGCAACTGTGGAAGGTTCAAAAAAACTTGGTACGATTTACGATTTCTTTCAAATATTTTTAATATGGTGATTATAAATTTTATCGTATAAATAAGGATCTTAAATATTAATAACTACCATGCAATAATGATATACAGAAGCTAAAGATATTGTTCAACAATCGAATGTCCCGGCAATAGATGAAGAAGAAATTGCGCGTAAGGTTGAAGCATTGCGTGCTAAGGGAGGAGCGGGTGGTAAGTCAGCGAGAATGAGAGGAAGTCGTGGTAAATCATCTCCGACGACCGAAGACAAGTAAGCTTTTCTGATCTTCGAATCTATAAATATTTGCATTCTAATACAATTTATTTTCACTAGTGAAACAAAATCAACCAAAAAGAAAGTTATGCGTAAATGGAATGGTCAGTTGACAAAAGAACAAGAGAAAAGTTTGAATTATTCTAATGAACAAGATGATGCTGGCACTTTGCCGGTTGCTCAAACTTTGGTTAATCAAAGTCAAATGGGGCAACGCAATCGTGATGGCAATTATGAAGTACAGGATTTAGGTGAGAATGAAGACATGGATTGTGAAGACGAAGAAGATGAGACCAATGGTCTTTCTCACAAAGAGAATAAGAGTAAAGAAAGTGGAAATGGCATGTTCTCATTTTTCAAAAGCATTACTGGACAAAAAGAACTTAGTGAAAAAGATCTTGAGCCTGTGTTAGCGAATATGAGAGAGCATTTGATCAAGAAAAATGTCGCATCGGATATCGCATCACATTTATGTGATTCCGTTGCGAAAAATCTTGTTGGTCAAAAGTTGGGTAGCTTCAAGAGTACGTCAATTTTCATTTTCATTATATCTTTTGTATATCTAAGAAATCGTTAAGTATTCAATATATATTTTAGGTGTGCAATCAACTGTAAAACAAAGCATGGAGATTGCGTTGAAACGCATTCTCACTCCAAAGACATCAGTTGACTTGCTTCGTGATATTGAGCAAGCTCAAGCCGAATCACGTCCTTATACGATATGTTTCATCGGAGTGAATGGAGTGTAAGCTTTAATTCAGATTATTGATATTGCACTATATTTGTATGTTTGGGATCACAGTGCTCTAACTGTAGTGTTAAAAAGTGGCAAATCTACAAATCTGTCCAAGACCTGTTTCTGGTTATTGCAAAACGGCTTGAAGGTTTTAATTGCCGCTTGTGATACTTTTCGATCAGGAGCTGTTGAGCAATTGAGAGTTCACGTAAGAAACTTGAATGCGTTGGGACAAAATTCTTCCGTAGAATTATATGAACGTGGTTATGGAAAAGATGCGGCTGGGATCGCAAAGGACGCTGTAAATTATGGTGAGCAACCTCATTTTCTTTATTAGAGTGAACTAAATGAAAAATCATAATTATTGCTTTTATATTTGAATTAATTGGCATCTTTAATTTCTGTCCAAGCGAAGGCAAATAAGTTCGATGTTGTCTTGATCGACACGGCTGGACGTATGCAAGATAATGAACCATTGATGCGTGCTTTGTCTAAGGTGCGCGATGTATTCAACATTTTGATTAGTTGACATTTAATCATCCTCTATTCACCATTTTTTGTACCCTATTACATTTTCGTTAATTAATAGCTAGTATCGGTTAATAATCCAGACAAAATTATATTTGTCGGAGAAGCTCTCGTAGGAAACGAAGCAGTTGATCAGTTAACTAAATTTAATCAAGCTCTTAGAGACTTCTCTGGACTTCAAAATCCGAGACATATTGATGGAATTATTTTGACAAAGTTTGATACTATTGATGACAAGGTATGTTTTTGTTAATTGTAAATATTTCTATTTAGATTTTTTATTAATCTTTACTATGATTATGATGTTTATTATTAGGTCGGTGCTGCTTTGTCCATGGCCTATATAACTGGTCAACCCATCCTTTTTGTTGGTACTGGACAAACTTATACTGATCTAAAGAATATGCGTGTTGCACACGTCGTAAACTCATTGCTCAAAGATTGAAGAATCAGGATTCAATTTCATTATATAAATCACGTTTATTTAACTAGCAATCTTATTTCCAATATTATTATTCTACTTTTGTGGTTACCACATACGTATTAAGGTAAGCGGCAATGCAGTAAATACATCATACTTGAGATCAAAATAACCTCATGGTTGGTGATACAGTATATTTAATGTCATCTGTGAAAAATTGCTATATAAAAGTTTCAATAAAATTTTTTCCGTTTATCTAACATAATACACACTATTGTTCAGTAAAAATGTCTAATCCAGGTTTGTTGCAAATTGTAAAGCGTTTTGCTGGAGAGAGAAGGCAGCACATGATTGCGAATTTCCTTGAAAAAAAAAAAAATGGTCCTTGTGAAACTAATAGACCTGAACTTTTAATATAAAGGCTTTCACGTACCGGGACCAAATCCTCACTTGGTTTCCCTTCTTCAAGGCAAACTTGGCTCATTAGTTGGCAGATCCTCAGGCTACATTGAAAATTTACCAGAGGACGTGAAACGCCGTATAAATGGCCTGAAATATCATCAATCAGAACACGCAAAATTAGAAGCAAAATTCCAGGAGGAAATTCTGGCATTGGAAAAGAAATATCTGGAGTTATATAAGCCCTTATATGAAAAACGAGCAGAGATTGTACGTGGAGAGGTTGAACCGTCGGACCAAGAGGTTCAGGCTGGTGCATCTATTGATGAAGAGGAATCACATCCTGAGGGGACCGCTGTTACTTCCACAAACGAGAAGGAAGAGACATCAGGAATTATGAACGGACCACAGAAAGGCATTCCTGAATTTTGGCTTACATCAATGAAAAATCTTATATCGATTGCGGATATAATTGATGAACGAGACGAGGATGCATTAAAATCTCTTGTTGATATTCGAATGTCATATCTTGAGAAACCCGGATTCCGTCTTGAATTCGAATTTGAAGAGAATGCTTATTTCACAAATAAGATCCTAGTAAAGACATATTATTATCAAGAGGAACCTGGTTATGGTGGTGATTTTGTGTATGATCATGCCGAGGGTACTGAAATTGATTGGAAACCAAACAAAGATCTCACAGTTAAAGTGGAAACGAAAAAGCAAAAACATAAAGGTTACTCTTATTTTTTAATTTAATTTAATTTTCGAATAATAACCTTATCAACTGAAATGTATATAATACAGGAACCAATAAAACACGAATTATAAAGACGACAGTACAAGCGGAAACATTCTTTCGATTTTTCAGTCCTCCGACAGTTCCGGAAAATGACGAACATGAAGACGAGGATGATAGTTTAGATGAGCGTCTTGAACTCGACTATCAGGTCGGCGAAGATATAAAAGAGAAACTTATCCCTCGTGCTGTTGATTGGTATACTGGTAAAGCATTAAAATACGAGGAGATTGTTGATGATCTTGAGGAAGGTATTTATATTGGAGAGGATGACGAAGATGACGAAGATGACGATGACGAAGATGACGACGATGACGATGACGAAGGTGGTGACCTAGGTGTAAGTTAGAACTCTGAATAGAAATTTATTATTTTCTTTTTTATTCTTGCCAAATATTTTTTATGGCGGCAGTTCAGTAAGATTCTGAAACACGACCTCGATCAAAAGGTTCATAAAAAAAAATGAATAAAACATAGAAACCATAAAAATGTAGGTCCTCTTGGGTGCACCGAGGCGATGAAACTTTCGGGGGTACTTTTTGGACATACACATAGAATATTACGACGAGAAAAATACAATTTTCATCCGATCTCTTGGAAACATCAATTAATTTCGCTCGATTTTTGGATCCTTTATTAATACATCATCTCCGATCCATATCTGCCTCACACACACATCCCTCTTTCTATTGGCCTTACTTTATTTATGGATATGATGGGTGTCTATATAATATATCACTAGATTTATTAATATGATACTTTCTTCTTTCTTTTATCAAAAAATGTTTCAGGTTAACAAACGGACCAGTAATCCAGGTATTATTTATTTTTATTCGTATGTATGTACATATTATCACACACATTGACACGTCTTTTGTTCATTTGTAATTTAGAACAGGAATGTAAACAGCAATAATCTTAATAATATTATTATCAATAAATTAATGTAATTGATCGTGGTAACGTTTTTCGAAGAGAAGACGCGCTGAAATGACGACGTTTGTAAAAAAAACATTTTTATTATACACGCATTTTAAATCCGTGAAATTCTTTGAAACAAACCTTCATTCTTTGTTCTTGCGATCTTTACCGCCTTGTCTTACTACACATTCTTTGCATACTCTCCACGTCTATTCATCCAACAATTTTAGAATAAAGTTTACTGATTAATTGATTAATCAACGATACATCTAACGCGACTTTTCTATACTATAATAATTATAGTAAATTTTCCTTGGAGGAGATTTTTATTTGTTGGAATATTGGTTTGACTTGAAAATTACTATTTAATTTTGTTTAATAAACCGAAAAATCCAATTAACAAAAGTATCGTACAATGTTTTTCGGGATGGGGTGCAATATAATAATTTAATTATTCAATGATTAATGCCAAAAAATAAAATGCTTTCCTCGTTATTTTACTCAATCTCTTCCCCCTACAAAAATAAACAAATAATTTAATGAATTAAATCTCTGATGCTCACTCAATCCAACAATTACACTCACCATAAAACCTCTCCAAAAACCCCTTCTTTTCACGATCCGCTGCAACCCAAGCTTCCTTTTCAAAATACTGGTATACATGAGTAGGTTGTTTCCACTGATTCAGCGTTTCATTGAATTCATTTCGCCCTTTTAGTAGTAGAACATCGATTACCGCTAAATCGTTTACATATCGATTCCGTTCAAATTCTTGTCGGATTTTTGCGCGTACCGCTGATGCTGGGTAGTCGAGTAGATAGAGTTTCACGACTTTTGGTGCCTTAGTATTATGAAACAGTGAAGGAAATTGTAAATTTTTGATAATAGTAACTTATGAGGTAGAAAACTGCGTGAAATTCGAGAACGTCAAATAAATATCAAAAAACCAGAACTACGAATTATATAAGAATTCAAAAAACTGCTTTAATCATATTTTCTTGTAATTCTCGGACTGGACCACGCAACATAAAGCTTCCCTACTATACATACCGCTCGTTGCCAATCACGATATAACTGTAAAACTCTCTTTCGTGCTGTCGTCAAAGAACCAGAAGTTCGAGTAACTACAGCAAGTGGTGGAGGTGTCGACACCATTATACACTTTTATCGAGACCAAAATGGATTAATACATGTATTTGAACGTAAATTTTATTTGTAACAAATTATTCTTTTATATAAATCTAGATTTTAAATTACAACATTCATTATCTAACGCTAAATTGAATTAAACTCTTCCATAGAATAATGATTCTTTAATTTCGGGATCATCTGCATTTTCGGCCATCAATAATTTCTTGATTTCTTCGGGTGGATTCAGTCCTAAGCGTTTTGCACGTTCCCATCGTTCGAGACGCGTTACTCCAACACACGAACCAAATCCGTAATTGAGATCGAAGGCGTGCAAGAGTTTTTGCTCAGGTGTGAGATGTTCGTCGTGGAAAGCTAAGAGATAACGATAGAAAATATTGATAATTTATTCAGTTCATATATGCGAGATTATACAGTAATTACAAGAAAGCAATTGAAGAAAGTAATTTACTTACTTAATTTGCTAGTATGTTTGTCAATAAACGACGGTGTTTTAGATGCACGAATTTTATCATATTTTGCTTGATCCTCTTCAATTTCACTAGGTGGTGATGGATGCGACACTTCGTCCTCTTCGTCCTCTTCATACACATCAATAACATTATCTTCTTCTTCGTCAGCTTCAGACTCCTTTTCGATTTCATTATGTGATCTTAAACTTGCTTCCTTTTTTAAGGGAATTTCTCGAGCAAGATTAACTACTTCGGACTCTTTCTCCAAGTTTCGCTTTGTATCTTTTTCGTCAAGAGAGGATTCCTCATCTTCTACTTTCTCTTCGTTCTCCTCCTCTTCATTTTCATTTTCTTCTTCTACTATACTACCGCTCTTGCTTGTCTCTTCGAGAATTGCTTGTCGCTTTTTTTTCTTTTGCTGTGTTTTTAAACCTGGAGCGGCCGGTTTTTCATCACCTTCACGTTTTCCGACCGTAAGAAGGTCGGTTATCTTTTGTTGGTGCTTTGTAGCAGATTCTGGCTTTTTTGGTGGCATGTTTAATAGTAATTACTTCAAAAGACGAATGTGAAATTGAAGAGAGAAAGTAAACAAACTGAATTATCGATCGCGTTTTTTTAATTTCGGAACTACTGATCACGTTTTAAATTTCAGATCAATCATGACACTTTTGGTTTATTGGAAAATGCCCTGAGCTTGCTTTAAATAATATTCTCTGTCATAAATGCTATTGAACATGATAAAATAAAAATGAAATCGGAAAATCAAAATTTGTAAAATAACGATGTTTTTAAATCTAGATATGTTTACTTTTTCCCACTTAAATGAAAAATGTCACGCTTAACAACTGTATTAAATATCAACATCATGAACATCAACGATCTTGGTCATTAATTTTTACAACAAAACCACTCAAAATGTCTGCTTTAAGCTCTTCAAGTTCTAGTTGGAAATCAGTGGTAAAGAAAGTAAAGGAAATATTCTAAATAACGTTGATAACATAGTCCATAACTATCCTGAACTGCCAAACTTTCCCTTAGGGGAAGAAAGGTGAGTGTGTCTCACGCAGGTTTCTTTAAGCTCAATGTTGACTCGTATGGTCTGCAGTTTGCCATTTCAGATTAGGACGAAAGTTTCAGTGAAAGAATATAACACTTCTTGATCGCAACGAATCAACTGGGTACAATTTTCATTGGGACAACGGAAACGTATGTATTGTTAAAATGGCTAACTCAGAACATGAAGCTGTTGTTACTTTGCTTCAAGATTTCTTCAAAACCCCAACGGCGGTGTAATCTTTGATCCCCCGATAATGGCTCTTGGTCAACCATGTAAGAGATTTTCTTTTTAGTCTGCTTGATCTTTGTCTTGTAATAAAATTTTGCGTTTTTTCTATAGTTCATTATGATCCATCTGGCAACAGAAAAAAAATAGCATTAGATACCCAGATGTTCCAAGACTCCCCCTAGTGCGTGTTTATTTTTGAGTCACTTTCTGATATGAATAATATACTTACATAGGGTCTTCCTCATGTAGAATAATCTGTGAGATAATTAACACTCAAGACATCACTCCCTGGAATACAAAATGCGAGAATTGGATGCGTCGACAATATATGCGATGTATATTTGGTATCAAGCTTGATTTTATAAGGAGTTTACAATGATGGTACGTTTAGCTAGACTAGGTTATGGAAGCGTCAAATACCAGCACCAACAGCTCCACCAAATCATCCAGCAAAAAAAGAATCACTAGTTCTATATGTAGATGCTTTAAACAACAAGGATTATATTACCATCTCTATTCTATTTGAGATAGGTAGAATAATTGATACAATTGATGTAAAGACTTAGTTATCACACAAAAAATACTGAAGCTCAAAGATTATACAAAAAGAATGTTTTTAAAATCAATTTCTGGCAAAAAGATCTTATAGCAATTAGAATATACCAATAGTTTCAAATAATAAAGAATTATTATTATATGGAGGTATTGATAGCTTTCTAAAACTAACAAACATTGAAAGAATTAATCAAAAAAAATAGTGATAATCTAAAAAGAAAAATTTATAGTATATTTAATTAGTATATATTTTTTTAATATATTATAATTATTTTTATTTTATCTTTATTTTTTATTACATTTTTTTATTTACATGTTATTATTATCCAAAAGTGGATGATAAAGATAATATTATTTATATTATTATCTTTTATTTATTGTTTATTATTTATATTTATAATAGATGATGAGAAAATCTAATGTTAATCAATAAAATTATTATTAATATTTTTTTCTTATTATATTTTCTTTATAAAAGAATATTTATTTCATCTTTTAATTTTTATCTTATTTTATTGATTTTTAAATAATTATCCTTTTAAATATATGAATTTTTTATATAGAAACTGTTATTATAATTGATTTTTTGACTAATTCATTAAATGGAGTTGGTTTGACAGAAGTTGAATTATATAATGAATATTCTCTATTATATATATAGTTAAAAACTTTTTTATTTTTATTTTTTATCTTATAGAAGAAATCAAAATGTTATATATATTAGTGATTTGTGAAATATTTCACATATTATTACAATCTTATTAAAGGATTTTTGCTAAATGCTTATATATAAGATAAAATTCTATTTTTATAATTATTTGCTTTTTTTATTTATTATTTTTTAACTCAATGATAATTATCATAACTAAGATTATATAGTTAAGTTAATTAGTATTACAATAATTTTTAAAAATTTGTTAATTAAAGAACTTTTCAAAAATAATAGAAAATATAAAAATCTCTAAAAATAATAGAAAAATATTAAATTGATAAAAATAATTTACTTATTTAGTTACATAAATATTATATTATTAGAAAGATAACACTATTATTTTCAAATTAATACTATTATTTTCAAATTAGCACTATTATTTTCAAATTAGTACTATTATTTTTAAATTGGCATTTTTATTTTCAAATCAGTATTACTATTTTCAAATTAGCATTATTATTTTTAAATTAGCACTATTATTTTCATTTTTGCATTATCATTTTTTACTTTTATCCTACCATTTTCTTTATCATTATTTATCTTTTTATAATATTTTGTAATTTAGATAGTATTAAACATATATTAAAAATTTTATATAAATAAAAGTGCTATCTTAACATATTCTCTCTTATATTTTGAACAAATTAATAATTTTTAATTTTTATTTTAACAAATTGACTAACTATATCTTGTTATTATATCATTAATATTTAGTTTTATTTTTATTTTTATTTTGTCAAAAAGAGTTATCTAACTAAAATAATTTTTTTAATTGAATTTTAAATTTTGTTATTCAAGTCACTTTTTATAAATCTTGAACAAATATAGAAATATTAATATTATTTGTTTTAATTAATAATTCTTATTAGTTTAATTATCTTTTAAATACACACTTTCAATTTCTTTTCTTATCTTCTAACAATTTTTGTTGAAATTAATACAAGTTTAAATATATATTTTTGCACTAATTAATTTATTAATTTATTTTTCTTTTTTAATTTATATGATTCTTTTATTAAGAGTAAAGAAATTCTTCATTTAAAGTAATTATAGTATTAATTTATTTGATATTTTATGATAAGTATAAAGAACTAAGAGAGTTAATAATTCTTATTTCTCTTTTATTTAATTATATAATAGTTAAAAAAGCATGAAATAATAGAAAAATTATAAAAAATAAAATAGCATGAAATAATAAATTAGAAATAAAAGATATTTAATTTATTTTATACTAGTTAAAAAAAGATATTTTAGATATTTTAACAATATTAATTTATATATAAGTAATATAATAACTCTCAAAATTATGAAATCAGTTTAATTAAATTTTTAAAATTATTACATTTTATTAAATATAAATATTATAATATTAAATAAATAAATATATATATTAATTTATTTGTAAATATTAGTTTTAATTAATATATTAGTTTTTTATTAGTACTTATTTAAATATAAATCACGTGATTTTATAATTATATAACTTTATTATAATAAAATTTGTTATAATAAAAAAATTTAAAAATAAAACAATCAGTAGTTAATATAATTATTCTTTATCTTAATCATCTCTTTTAACTTTCTTGATATATTTTCAATTAATATATAATAACTTCTATTACAATTTCTTTTCACACTTGTTTAAGACACCTTCACAAATTTTTTTTATTTGTAATATTTACTTTTTGTTGTCTTAAATATCTATTTACTTGTTTCTATAATTTTTTAATAGAATTAAGATCTGAAAATTAGATAAATCAATCAAATATAGTTATTTCATTTTTTGCAAGCCAGTTTGAACAATTAATATAGTGTACTTTAGATCATTATCATATTAAAATACAATATTATTCTTGTTAAAATTATAATAATTGATAGTTGCTAAAAGATTATTAAAAAGAATAAGCTGATAGAGTTTAGTATTCAAGTTATTATTAATTTAGCAGAGGTTACCAATACTCTTTTATATTATATACCTCCACATCATTATACTTTTGTTTCCAAATTTCACAGTTGGTATTATATTTCTATTATTCAATACTTCCTTATCACACTGTCAATAATATTACTTATTGTTTAACTCAAAGATTATAAATTTGCTTTCATTCAATCAAATTACTCTTTGCCAATCTTTAATAAATTAATCTCAGTATCTTCTTGTAAACATTAAATGAGCTTTACAATAATATTTTAGCAATTGCAATTTTCTTTTGTAACATATTTTAAAATTATTTTTATAAAATATTTTATAAATTATATTTACAGATATGTTGATATTATTCTCATATTTTAATTTTTTTTTGAATAGTGTTACCATTTTTATTGATGTTAAGTTCTTGATGTATTAATCACGTGTTTTATTGAAATAAGAGCGAAAGAGATTAAGTTCTTAAATGGGAGAGACTAAGATTTATTACTAAAGGTAGGTAACGTGTGTTCTTGTTGTGACGAGCTAGAATGACATCCAATAACTTCACTAAGTTTTGTATATTATTTAGAATTTC